AGTACACAAAGACACTGTTGCCATGGTGACAGTACACCGCTTAACTTAACAAGCGCAAGTCTAGTCATCTACAGGGGTTGCTTGAGAAAGCAAGAAAAAGTCAAGATTTTAGGCAAGAAATTTTCCTGCTTTAAACGCCCTTAGTTCCCTTCTCTTATTGGCTGTTAATGAAGGTGCTAAAGAAAGTAGTGTGAGTGCTATTATCTATCGTTTGAGAACATCTTAGAGAAATTTCACATTTTCTTACCATACTTTGTCTATAACTAATATAAAGCACTATTACATTTCATTAACCCACTTACAACAGGTGTCACACACATGAGACACCCTGAAGAGAAAACTTTACAGGTGTGATGCTAGATCAGAGCTTGCGCTTGGATTTTGTCGCCCATAGCAGGTGCTGTGCAGGCAGGTTCCAGGACTCATCCACGCACCAATTTTGAAGCTGCCCGAAAAATATTATATTCGGCTTGAATATGTACTATTGCTAGTAGGTTAATTGGTAATTGTTACCGAGAGTGGCACACCCTCCAGATACCAAGTCCCAAAACTAGGGTATCAGGTGAACCCAAAAACCCAGCAACCTTTTCTACCTTCTGTTTCTTCCTTAGGCAGGGGAGCCAACCCCCTGTACCCCCCAATTATTAGCACTTCATGCCAACTTATAGAAAACTTGCATTGAGAAATCTGGCTCTGTGAAGGTGTTGTGGACATCAGCTCTGAGCGGTACTATACAGCAGATATTTACTAGTAAATATGAGGCTTTTGCAGCCTAAACTATACTTTTCCTTACTCAATTTTTTTGGCTCAATAAAATAGTGGTATCCATTTCCCTCTCTCTCTCTCTCTGTCGTTTTCAGTAACTTATTAATTAATCAAACAAATTTATATGTTATCTAATATTTAACAGTTGATATGATTTGGTGTAACATCATTGTATGGTGTATTGATACACTTTGCCAATATCATTGGCTACAGAAGGCCAGTCACTGTAGTTGCCTGCAGTATTTGAGGTGTAAGTGAGAAAGTGAAATGAATGGTCATGTTTTGTGTGTGATGTGACTTGTCATGTACAGAATTTGTTAAAAAATACGAATGGTGGTCCGGGGGCAGAGCCCTTGATAGGCAAATACTACATATGGCAATTTGAACCAAAAGCTTCCTAATCTGGGGCAGAGGTCCATTCGATTGCAGTGAACTTATTCTCTGCATGGTATTTATTGCAACCTATTTTCTTAATTCCTGACATTTTATGACAATGCAGACTATTTTATGTATTAGAGTGTTTAGCTTTCTATCTGATTATTATACTGCTGCTACATTTTCCTGTAAATGTATTCCAAAGTATTACATGTTGCTCAACTTTATTAACATCTTGCGATGGTATTATCTTAGATGAAAAATGTCACATTTCTGGTCATTCAGTCCATTACAGGCAAATCTTACTTGTGCTACATGGCTGCAGGAAACTGAAACTATACTGGATTGTTTTTTCCATGCATGTAAGTGACGCCTTTGTCAATGTTTCATGGGTAGTATTCGCAAAAGACCTAAAACTGTTTTAGTGAATTTGTATATGAATCAGTCCATTGCAACTTCTCCAACTTAAGCAGATAAATGCTTGTAGACCCAGTGAGAATGCTTCTCTATAATATTACAATAAACTTAGTATTGCAGTATAATTTCCTCTTACCCCCACTAATCTTGGGGAACCCATGGGGAATCGGGGGTTTAGTTGTGGGGACACACCCACTTTATTACCCCCTAACCAAGGCCAAGCCCCCAGACCCACACCCACTTTACTACCCCCTAACCAAGGCCAAGCCCCAGCCCGCAGCGCCCCCCTCTCCCCTAGGGTATTTCCCCTCTGAGTGCAAGCCCATGGACCCTTTTCCCCAAGGGTATTTCCCTCTTGAGGGCAAGTCCCTGGACCCTTCCCCCTGGGGTATTTTGCAATTGAGGGCAAGACCCTGAATTCATTCCCCCTAGGGTATTTCCCTACCAGGGACACCCCCCCCTTCCCCTAGCGTATTTAGTTTACTCTCTTGACTTATCACACCTGAAGTCTTGTATTTTGATATTGGAACATAATTTTTTGCAAATTAGGCACAGTAGTCTTGAATAGCTCTTAATAGACTCCGTCTGTACTGTAAAAAATTACCGTTTTTTTTTTTTTTTTTCTACAAAAATTGTTTAAAGTTGTGTATCCCTAGTCATTGTATAATTTGTTTCACACAGCCATATGACGCAAGGTAAACATTGTCTGTGATGGATTAAACAACAGAAAATATGACACTTTTCAACAGTGTTATTTCCTCTGTGGGGTATAATAAGAAAATAGTGCAACATGTAATACTTTGTTATGCATTTACAGGAAGAGCTAATGCTTCTGTCATAAAGAAAGGGAAAAAATAGTCACAGATACATGAAAAAAAGTTACTAAGGCAAATTATAATTTCAGAAATGAAGAAAATTTATTGTGAAAAATGTCACTTGAGCAATAATTCTGGAATGATGGGGTGGAGCTTTGGAGGAAGAACTCGGAATAGGGAAATACAACAGACTGGTGGAGTCTAGGGGAAAAAACTACTCATCAATATGTGAAGTAACCTCTGCTGGCAAAGATTAATATCAGAGATAAGAAAAATGTGTCAAGTTACCACACCCCCCCACAAATTCTTTTACAATATTCCAGGGAAAATTGATTGTTGATAGAATTGTGAAACTCAGAGTAATAAATTCTGTGAAATACAATTACCATGATCAGGTGTCATACTCCACAAGATTCAAGGGTGCATTACCCTTTCAGCCACAGCACACGTATATCCTTCACTACTCTGTTTTATTTGTTTTTTTCTTATTTCTGAACTTTTATCATGTAGGTTGCTGTTTGCTAGGGAAATATAGCAATCAGGTTGAGTGTCTGTGGACAAAGATGCCAGGTCTGGAAGCTTTTTTGTTCATATAGTGATATTCATGGTAATTTCTTCATATACAAATGTAACATCATTATTTTCTTTTGTTTATATATGTATGCAATGTCATTTCAAATCTTTAATGAACAAACCTAGACTCAGGTTTAGATTTTTCTACTTTCTTTCCCATTTTTAATTGTTCATATCCCCAACCAGAACCCTTGATTTCCAGGAGTGCCCCCAAGCTTGTTGGCCGGACTAATAGGGATTTAGACTCAGTAATTATTTACATATTATGGTCACCATGTAAATGATTACCATTTTGGCAATAGTAATCCTTTGAATATACTCAAATGTAATATGGCACCCAAACCAAGTTATCATTGAATAAGCTGTGAAGGTGTGCATTACCATTTTTATATTTTAACTAGAAAATTGTTGAAAAATGAAGGAAACTCATCATTTATTGTTTCACAATAAATCTGAAAGGGGCCTCCAATTTTTCCTTACATGTCTCAAAAATGTCTACGAGCTGAATTTTGTCTGTGACTCAGTTGAAGATTAAGACAAGTCTGGAAATTGTCTTTATGAGGCAAGGATAACCATAAAGCAATTATACTAGGGATTAATATAATTCTGCAACAGAAGTGATTAAGAAAACTTTGAGGCCTTACTCATTATCAAATGTTAATTCAGCCTTTTTCCTACACTTTTACAGCAGTATTCTAGTTGAAAAGCACAAATGGTGCCGTGTTATTAAATATTTGATATTATCATCATTATAAATGTAATATTTAATGCTATATTTGGGTGGGTGAGGCAAAATATTTTAGGAATGAAGATTGTATTGGTATGCCTATCTTTCACATTTTTTGTTTTGATTCTGTCATCATTCCCCCATAAATATCCCAGTTTTTTATGTTTGAAAAAAAAAATGTTTGGCAAGAGTCTTTAATTTTATTTTGGGCATACAACATTTTGATAAACAAATTCTCTAGCTCAGAATGGAGTCATTCTGTTAAAAACTACTATGAAAAGGATTTTTTGTAGTTTTAAATATATATTGAATATGTATAATGAAACTGTAACCTGTATTTCCTTGAAATTGGGAATTCCTAAGGGATTCCCATTTTCGTCTCTCTCAGTTTTTCAGATTATTTTTGAGGCCATATCACAAAAAAATTAAATTTCAAAAAGGGTTCAAAAATCTTCTAGCTACAGATTTCCTCTGTTCAGAAAAAAAATCTTGTGCAGAAGAGATTAAATGTTGCACACCCCTCATGTTATTAAAAAAAGAGGAATAAATAAATAGATGAATAAATAAAACTGTTAAAAAGCTAAGGAACAATTTGATGCTTTGTTTAAGTTTTTGAGATCTTGTAGAGGGAAGAATCAAATGGTATGAGTTTGAATAATCTAGTTCACAGGGCTCTCAAAGTTCTAAACTATAGGCTAGCAGGGTGCAGGGGCTTGAATAGAAAATGCAAGTATGGCAGATTATTATCTCTATCCATTTTCTTTATAATCTAATGTTTAGAAAACAACAGAAATGCTGCTGACCTGCATATTGCATAAAATTCACATTTACAACTGGTTTCAGCAGGGCAGGAAGGGAAAAGTTTATTTTTGGGACCAGACAAAAATAGCTGGTTTCAAAACTAGCCACAGGTGGCTGCTTTTAAGAGCCCTGAGTTCTGAAACTAAGTAGCAGGAAACTGTCTTTTGGAGGTTCAATTTAAAGGAAAGTTCAATCTTCAATCAAAGTGAACATAGTGATATTATAATTTTGTAAGTTTTCTTTGTTATTTCTAAAGTTGTACTTTACATATTTTCATTTAAGTACTCTTAAGTCATTTTTGGAATAAGTTATGATAGTCTAAGTTTTCCAAGAAGGATATGATAAAGCACAATAATGTGATAGGGGGATCATGTTATATTCCCCATGAATGACAGAAGAAAAATGTGCATCAATGTCAGGGGCATAGCAAGAGAATGGCTTGATATAATGCCTGTTTATTATATTCATTAAACAATGCTTACTCTATCATTACTGGTTTATATACTAAAGTCTACTCCTCCTCACAGGAGACCACAAGCATCATTGACTCTCCAGGCCAAAGTCGAGTGACCAGCAACATGAGTGGAGCCGGTAGCAGTGACAGTGGGCTCGACCTGTCAGGAAAGCTTATCATTAAGGTTTGTCCAGAGAAGAATACGAGGGAGCTATTCATGGACAAAGAAACCTTTATGAAATGATTTAGCAAGATGCTAGCCATTAGCAGCTGATATATATCCCTGTTCTCATGTACACACTAAGATCAAACATCAAAGAAAGATAGATAGATAAATATTCTTTACATTTTTAATGTGAAAAAGTAGTCATAGCTTGAATTTTTTTTTTTTTTTTTTTTTGAGGGGGAGGGAGTAGCATTTGCCTTCCCATTTTTTGTATACACCAGACTATTGGAAATATTTTTTGAACTTGAGAGAGTTGTAGTAGGAGTGCATCAGTAATTGTTATGCTTCAGGCCCAGTTGGGTGATGATATCCGAAGGATCCCCATCCACAATGAAGACATGACCTATGATGAACTGATCCTAATGATGCAGAGAGTCTTTCGGGGCTCCTTGTCACCAGATGATGACATTACCCTTAAATATAAGGTAACGTCATCTTAATTTGGGTGTGGTTTGTTAGATTAGAAAAAAAGAAAGTGTATATTCTGCATAGATTTTCCATATTGCAAATCTCCTAAAGTCAACAATATTAAGTATAATGATTTTTGAATTGTGCTAGGTTACCCATAGTAATTACTTTCTTTTAGGATTGCATTGTATACACGCAAATTAATCATTATATTTTCTAACGATCAGTGTCAAAGGTATGTTTGGAGTCAGATTTCTAAGCCACCTGAAAATATAAGTCAGTCATTTCTTCTTCTTTTCCTTCTTCATCTTTTTTTCTTCTCCTCCTCTTCTTCTTTTTTTCTTCTCTCTCTTCTTCTTTCTTTCTCTTTTTTCTTCTCTTCTTCTTCTTTTTCTTCTCTTCTTTTCTTTTTCTTTGTTTCTTCGCCTCCTCATCATCATGTTTTCTTCTTCTTTTCTCCATTTTATTATTATTATTATTATTGTTATTATTATTTGTTTTATTTTTATTTATTTTTTCTTCTCCTCCTCTTCTCTTATTATTATTGTTATTATTAGTAATATTATTATTATTATTATTATTATTATTATTATTATTATTATATTATTATATTATTACTATTACTATTTTTCTCTCTCTTCTCCTCTTCTCTTATTATTATTATTATTGTTTTTGTTGTTATCATTATGATTTTTTTCTTCTTCTCCTTTTCTCTTCCTCTCTCTTCTCTTCTTTTCTCCCCTTCTTCCTTTCTTCCCTCCTTCTTCTCATCCCTCCTTCTTTTCTTCCCTTCTTCTGCTTCTGCTTCTGCTTCTGCTTCTACTACTTCTTTTTCTTCTTCTCCATTTCTTCATCTTCTTCTTCTTCTTCCTCTTCTTCTTCCTCTTCTTTAATTATTTTCTTCTCCTTCTTCTTTGTTTTCTTCTATAACAAGAAAATGTATGTTTTGTCATTATTTTATTCTGATTCAATCCACACAGGATGAAGATGGTGACCTAGTGACCATTTTTGACAGCTCTGATCTGGCTTTTGCCATTCAGTGCAGCCGCATCCTCAGGCTCACCATCCTCCCCAATGGCCAGAAGTCAGCTGCCGTGGCTCCTCCCTTCTCAGTTAGTTCTGACACCTTGGTTTAGGGAAGAGTATATCAAATGTAGAATATCACATATTGGTAAATGTAGAATGAAGGCAACATTATATTTTGCAATGAATTAAGAAATCTTTTACTTCATAATTTTACATACATTACATTAGATTTGTATGAATGATACTGAGCATTTGTTGGTATCTTATTCATATATCTGTATAACATTAACCTACAATATGCAATTTGCTTGAGTAAACAGCAGCATTATACAAATTATTAAAAAGCATAATTCTGAAATGCTTGGAATTGATTTCTATCAAAAATTGATAATTAAACCAATGCCAGCAGGAACATGCAATGGTCACTGTAATGTTTGTTAGATATAGTTCCACATACATGGCTCCACAAGTGCAAAACCAATAAGGTGTCAATAAGTAGACTTATGTGAGCTCCCCTTTCCTTGAGTTTTCAGTTCTGTTTTGTTTTCCCATAGATATGCTATTGATGTTGATATTATTATCATGGACATTAGAATTACTGCAGTATTATTAACAATACTAATAATAGTGTGAAATATAAAGAATATTTTCAAAACTTCAGGAAAAGTATAAGCAGGTGAGATAGGTAGGATTAGTAATTGATTCTTTGGTAACTAAATACTTATGAAGTCATCTATGTACACATACAATTAATAGATAAAACTCATAATGGCCGTGGCATGTCTGTATGTGCCATCCGCAGTGGCATTTGAACAGTTTTGAGAAATACTTAAAATTTTCCTCATAACTGTAATGGATTACCAAAATAATGGTCTAATCACTTTCTTTGCATTATTTGACCAGACACTGACTGTCCGACGAGAACTGCGAGCAATCCGTGACCGAGTTACAGCTCTGCTTGACACCCTTGATGTGTCTGCTGATATTGGGCCTAAGGCCACTGTTGATTCTGATACTAGTGAGTACTCGTACTCTTCTCTGAAAATTGTTAACCACCAGCTACTAGTCTTATGGGTCCCCCTCTTTCTTTATCTCACATTTCTGAACACCCTGCTCCTTTCAGTCTTTTCCATATTTGTTGTTTTCCATTACAAATACTGAGTTTCTCTTTTACGGGCTTCTAAGTGTGTAAGTTTTTTGAGTCCCAATTAGAGTGATGCATCATTCTAACCATGGATATAGATGCATTTGCTCCCTTGAAACATGATTATGAAACATCGACTGTTGTCAGATTTTTACAGTCTTTGTATGATTCAGATAGATTTTTTATTTTTTTTTCATGTCGCTTGCAAGGACTTTTTTTCTTTTTTAAGCATAATCGCTTAGAAGTGCACTGTAGAAAAGACATGTTGCTGTTTTGACTTAATGAAAGTCCATAGTAAATATCAGCTGAATCAGCTATTCTATGAACTTAAAGTTATCAAAAGTATCCGTTGTGTGAAACGGTCTTTCAAATCACTTAGAAGGGAAATTATGGTCAATTTAGTCTATTTTGCATTTCCATTATATTTCACAAGCTCATTTCAACAGGTGGTGGCAATAGTGGGGCTACTGGTTCTCCAGCACCAAACTCCAACATGCAGTTAAATGTTTCCTCAAAGGAATTTGATCCTCTCCAGGCATCTGAACAACAGGTAGGGATTTATTATATATACTGTACTTGTTTATGGGTCATTAGTATGAATATGTAATCCTTTAGCTCTTCTACTATATGTCAATGAATCATCAGATTCTCTAGTTAATTCCCTGAACATGCTGAATATATTCTAATGAAAGCCTTGCCATTACTGATGCATGTGTTCCAGACTAAAGAGTGAGGAGTTATGCCTCCTAATTTATGTAATTTTATTTATCATCTTTCACACATTTAAAGTTAAATCGTAGGTCTTTTCCAAATGGTTAATTTGTAACAAAAGCAGCTGTTGCTGTTTTTTTAAAGAAATACTCAACTATACTTCCTTTTATTCTTCACACATTAGGTGGCTTTCTATAATCATACCTTACACAAATTTTTCTGAACTCCAGCAACCAACTCAGCAGCAACAGCCCAAAGCTCAGACAAACAGTCAGCAGCATCCACCAGTCAGTACACCCACTCCAGCAGCAGGGGCACAGAGTGAAG